GGTGGGGCTCATGTTTTTTTTTTCGAATAAATTTTTCAACTGATTTTTTTTTCTGTAAATGACACTTTGTTGGAAATTTTGTAACGAATTCAACTAGGTATGCCTCCAATATCTGACCACTATTTCCCAGGGTTTTGATTAAAAACCTGAAAAATCGAGGTGATTTTCTTCGGATTTGCGCCTTGCCATAATGGGGTGGGGGTCATGTTTTTTTTTCGAAAATATTTTTAAATGATTTTTTTTCGTAAATGACACTTGTTGGTAATTTTGTAACGAATTCAACTAGGTATGCCATTCCAACATCCGACCACTATTTCCCAGGGTTTTGATTAAAAAACATAAAAAATCGAGTTGATTTTCTTTGGATTTGTGCCTTGTCATTAAGGGTGGGGGTCATTGTTTTTTTCGGAAAAATTTTTCAAATGATTTTTTTTTCTGTAAATGACATTTTGTTGGAAATTTTGTAACGAATTCAACTAGGTATGCCATTCCAACATCTGACCACTATTTCCCGGGGTTTTGATTAACAACCTGAAAAATCGAGGTGATTTTCTTTGGATTTGAGCCTTGTCATATCATTTTCAAATGATATTTTTTCTGTAAATGATACTTTGTTCGAAATTTTGTAACGAATTCAACTAGGTATGCCATTCCAACATTCGACCACTAGTTCCCAGGGTTTTGATTAAAAACATGAAAAATCGAGGTGATTTTCTTCGGATCTGGGCCTTGTCATAATGGGGTGGGGGTCATGTTTTTTTTATCGAGAAAATTTTTCAAATTATTTTTTTTTTCTGTAAATGACACATTGTTGGTAATTTTGTAACGAATTCATAAACGTATGCCATTCCTACATTCGACCACTATTTCCCAGGGTTTTGATTAAAAAACCGAAAAATCGAGATGATTTTCTCTGGATTTGAGCCTTGTCATTTAGGTGGGGTTCATGTTTTTTTTTCGAAAAAATTTTTCAAATAATTTTTTTTTCTGTAAATGACACTTTGTTGGAAATTTTGTTACGCATTTAACTAGGTATGCCATTCCAACATCTGACCACTATTTCCCAGGGTTTTGATTAAAAAACCGAAAAATCGAGGTGATTTTCTTTGGATTTTGGCGTTGTCGTAAGGGTGGGGTTCATAATTTTTTTTCGAAAAAATTTTTCAAATGATATTTTTTTCTGGAAATGCCATTTTGTTGGAAATTTGGTAACGAATTCAACGAGGTATGACATTCAAACATTCGACCACAATTTCCCAGGGGTTTGATTAAGAAACCGAAAAATCGAGTCGATTTTCTTTGGATTTTGGTTTTGTCATAAAGGTGGGGGTCATGTTTTTTTTCGAAAAAATTTTTAAACTGATTTTTTTTTCTGTAAATGACACTTTGTTGGAAATTTTGTAACGAATTCAACTAGGTATGCCATTCCAATATCTGACCACTATTTCCCAGGAGTTTGATTAAAAAACCGAAAAATCGAGGTGATTTTGTTTGGATTTGAGCCTTGTCATAAGGGTGGGGCTCATGTTTTTTTTATCGAAAACATTTTTCTAATGATTTTTTTTCTGTAAATGACACTTTGTTGGAAATTCTGTAACGAATTCAACTAGGTATGCCATTCCAACATCTGACCACTATTTCCCAGGGTTTTGATTAAAAAACCGAAAAATCGAGGTGATTTTCTTTGGATTTTGGCGTTGTCGTAAGGGTGGGGTTCATAATTTTTTTCTGGAAATGCCATTTTGTTGGAAATTTCGCAGGGGTTTGATTAAAAAACCGAAAAATCGAGTTGATTTTCTTTGGATTTTGGTTTTGTCATAAGGGTGGGGGTCATGTTTTTATTCGAAAAAATTTTTAAACAATTTTTTTCTGTAAATGACACTTTGTTGGAAATTTTGTAACGAATTCAACTAGGTATGCCATTCCAATATCTGACCACTATTTCCCAGGGGTTTGATTAAAAAACCGAAAAATCGAGGTGATTTTGTTTGGATTTGAGCCTTGTCATAAGGGTGGGGCTCATGTTTTTTTTATCGAAAACATTTTTCTAATGATTTTTTTTTTGTAAATGACACTTTGTTGGATTTTGGCGTTGTCGTAACGGTGGGGTTCATAATTTTTTTCTGGAAATGCCATTTTGTTGGAAATTTCGCAGGGGTTTGATTAAAAAACCGAAAAATCGAGTTGATTTTCTTTGGATTTTGGTTTTGTCATAAGGGTGGGGGTCATGTTTTTATTCGAAAAAATTTTTAAACAATTTTTTTTCTGTAAATGACACTTTGTTGGAAATTTTGTAACGAATTCAACTAGGTATGCCATTCCAACATCTGACCACTATTTCCCAGGGTTTTGATTAAAAACCTGAAAAATCGAGGTGATTTTCTTCGGATTTGAGCCTTGTCATAGGGGTGAGGGTCATGTTTTTTTTCGACAAAATTTTTAAAATGATTTTTTTTTTCATAAATGACTCTTTGTTGGAAATTTCGTAACGAATTCAACTAGGTATGCCATTCCAACATCCGACCACTATTTCCCAGGGTTTTGATTAAAACATGAAAAATCGAGGTGATTTTCTTTGGATTTGAGCCTTGTCATATCATTTTCAAATGATATTTTTTCTGTAAATGATACTTTGTTCGAAATTTTGTAACGAATTCAACTAGGTATGCCATTCCAACATTCGACCACTATTTCCCAGGGTTTTGATTAAAAACATGAAAAATCGAGGTGATTTTCTTCGGATCTGGGCCTTGTCATAATGGGGTGGGGGTCATGTTTTTTTTATCGAAAAAATTTTTAAACAGATTTTTTTTTCTGTAAATGACATTTTGTTGGAAATTTTGTAACGAATTCATAAACGTATGCCATTCTCACATTCGACCAATATTTCCCATGGTTTTGATTAAAAAACCGAAAAATCGAGGTGATTTTCTCTGGATTTGAGCCTTGTCATATAGGTGGGGTTCATGGTTTTTTTTCGAAAAAATTTTTCAAATGTTTTTTTTTTCTGTAAATGACACTTTGTTGGAAATTTTGTAACGAATTCAACTAGGTATGCCATTCCAATATCTGACCACTATTTCCCAGGAGTTTGATTAAAAAACCGAAAAATCGAGGTGATTTTGTTTGGATTTGAGCCTTGTCATATAGGTGGGGCTCATGTTTTTTTTATCGAAAACATTTTTCTAATGATTTTTTTTTCTGTAAATGACACTTTGTTGGAAATTCTGTAACGAATTCAACTAGGTATGCCATTCCAACATCTGACCACTATTTCCCAGGGTTTTGATTAAAAAACCGAAAAATCGAGGTGATTTGCTTTGGATTTTGGCGTTGTCGTAAACCGAAAAATCGAAGTGATTTGCTTTGGATTTTGGCGTTGTCGTAATGGTGGGGTTCATAATTTTTTTTCGAAAAAATTTTTCAAATGATTTTTTTTCTGGAAATGCCATTTTGTTGGAAATTTGGTAACGAATTCAACGAGGTATGACATTCAAACATTCGACCACAATTTCGCAGGGGTTTGATTAAAAAACCGAAAAATCGAGTTGATTTTCTTTGGATTTTGGTTTTGTCATAAGGGTGGGGGTCATGTTTTTATTCGAAAAAATTTTTAAACAATTTTTTTTTCTGTAAATGACACTTTGTTGGAAATTTTGTAACGAATTCAACTAGGTATGCCATTCCAATATCTGACCACTATTTCCCAGGGGTTTGATTAAAAAACCGAAAAATCGAGGTGATTTTGTTTGGATTTGAGCCTTGTCATAAGGGTGGGGCTCATGTTTTTTTTATCGAAAACATTTTTCTGTAAACATAGTTGTTAAGTATGTACATATTGTATTTAGTGTAAACATCCTGTAATGTGATACGAATTAGTGAGTACGTAGTATAAATTAGAATTAAGAATAATGAATGAATGTGAACTTGACTAGAACTTACGATAACTATAAAATATGTGAAGATAACTTGACGATAATTTTAATCGATATATATACAAGAAAGGAATAAGCACATGGAAATAAAGAGAGAATATTAATTTAATTAAATAAAGACCATCGTTTACAATTCAGGTGTGGGGTAATCACGCAAATCTTTCACATCGAGGACCAATGTTGTACAAAGATATATTAAAGTGCACAGGAGAAGAACTATTGAAACTTCTAGAAGAAAACGAAGTGCACTTTGATAAAACAGCGTCCATTCATCAATTGCGCGCTGCTGCAAAAAAGTTAATGATGAACAGAGAACAAGAAGGTGGCGCCAAAGATGAGCAGGATGTGATTTCTGGAGGCGATTCCACGGTGCAGAAGAGCACAATTCGGATGCACACTAGTTCTCAGAATTTTTCGCCAATCCAGCTTGGTGAGCACACTGGTGAACAAGATCTGGCCGATGTCTGTCAAGGATTAGCTGAACTGAAATCAACTCTTTGTGAAATGGAGCAGAACCAGATTGGCAAGGGAATGTCTGGAAATTTTTCACGGGTTGACGTAGCAGATCTAATGGCAGTGGTGGAACCGTTCTCAGGAGATGATGGAATTCCAGTGAAATTGTGGATCGAGGAATTTGAGACTGCTTGTGTTGTGCTGGGAGTATCACCCAATCGTTATTGGTTGTATGCGAGACGTCTACTTACTGGACCAGCTAAAGCTTACTTTGTATACCAGGCCGCAACAGAGTGGGAGGCACTGCGTTCTGAAATGATTGATGTGTTTGGCCGAAAGAGCAGTAAGATGGAAATATGCGAGCAGCTTAAGCGTCGTAAGCAACGAAATGGAGAAACTGCGTTCCAGTACTTTATAACTATGTGTGGCCTAGCACGTCAAGCTGAACTGGAGGATCGTGACGTAATAAGGCACATTGTGAGCGGGTTAAACGACAAGAATGGCATCACATCATCTCTCTACTTTTGTGAAAGCCTTAGTCAATTGCGTCGTCGCTTAATGGAGTATGACCAAATTCGTTTGTCAATGCCAAATCGTAACGCTGGGTGTTGCTTCTGGTCAGGAAATGAAGTGTTATAATTGGCGTCAGCCAGGGCATATGATTAAAGACTGCAACAAACCAATACGTCCGCCAAATAGTTGCTTCACATGCGGAGCCATGGATCATCAGTTTCGAAGCTGCCCTAAACGTGCGACTGGAAAGCTGCAACAGACGGTAGCACATCTGGAGGAACAACAATCTGTCGCCGACATACTTGGTAAACATTTAGTAAGTTTTAATATAAATGAACTTAGATGCACAAGATTTAGATTGATTGATATTCTTTTTGACACCGGCAGCCCTGTTAGTTTTATAAACAAGTCGAATTTACCAAAGGATGTAACTTTTGCTAAACCAATTACGAGTCAGTATCACGGAATTTGCGGACCAAAAATAATATTGTGTGGAACAATGACCTGTTATTTTAAGTTTAATCAAAGAATTTATGAAATCGAAGTTTTTGTAGTATATAACGATGTATTACCGGTAGCTATGATACTGGGTAGAAATGCTCTTAGTGTACTCAACCTAAAATTAATGCAAAGTAATTTGGAAACGTCATTAATGAATATTAATAAATTTGATTTAAATTGTTATTGTGCATCTTTGTTTCAAAACGAAATAGATACTAAGCTGGAAAATCAAATAAGCAATTACGAATTAAAAATAGATAATACTTTAAATGATCAATGGATGAGAGATATGGATTATTTATGTGCAGGTGTAACGTCAGATTTAAATACAAATTTAGATATTGGAAGTGAGTTTGGATTAGATAAAAAGGAAGAATGTTATAACTTGATTTGTAGTAAATATTTAAACATGTTAAGTAGGGAATTAACCGAACCAGTTTGTAAGATGAGTATAAAGCTAACTAATGACATTCCATTTCATTTTAAGCCTAGACGATTATCGTACTTTGAGAGAGACAAAGTTTCGGAAATTATTGAGGAGTTGTTACACACTAATATAATTCGCCCGAGTAATTCACCTTTTGCTTCTCCTATTGTGTTAGTTAAAAAAATGTCAGGTGAAATCAGGATGTGTGTGGATTACAGAAGTCTTAATAAGTTAACAGTTCGTGATAACTTTCCTTTACCTTTAATTGAAGACTGCCTTGAATATTTAGAGAACAAAAATTGTTTTTCAGTTATTGATTTAAAAAGTGGGTACCACCAAGTATGCGTCGAAGAACAGTCTGTAAAATATACATCATTTGTAACGCCGCAAGGACAATTTGAATATTTGCGCATGCCATTCGGGTTAAAATATGGTCCGTCAGTATTTCAACGTTTCATATCCAATAATTTAATGGATTTAGTTAGAAATCGGAAAATTGTTGTTTATATGGATGATAGTAGCTACAAGAACAGTAGAGGACTTTGAAATTATGGAAGAACTTATGGAACGATTAGCAAAATGCCAATTAGAAATAAATTTAAAGATAATTGATTACTTAGGATACAGTGTTAGCAATGAAGGTATTTTACCTAATGATACACATATTGAAGCAATAAAAAATTACCCTGTCCCAAGTAATATAAAACAACTTCACTCTTGTTTAGGCATGTTTTCATACTTTCGTCGATTTGTTCAGTCTTATGCAAATTTAGCTCGTCCGTTAGTTGACTTATTAAAAAAAGGAGGACCATTTCCAATTAATGAAGACCAACTAAAAGTTTTTGAAGATTTAAGGCATCGGTTATCCACTCCGCCTGTTCTTTCTATATCTAACACAAATCGTGAAACCGAATTAATACTGATGCTAGCTCTCGAGGTTGTGGAGCAGTGCTAATGCAGAGACAAAACGACGGTAAATTGCACCCTGTTTTTTACTTTCTCTAAAAGCATCATCTGCTGAATCAAGGTACCATTGTTTTGAATTGGAGACACTTGCTATAATTTATGCTCTCCGCCGGTTTAGGGTATATTTAGAACATAAGCCTTTTAAAATTGCTACGAACTGTCATTCACTAGTACAAACATTGAGCAAACAATCAATAAATCATCGTATTGCTCGTTGGTCGTTGGAATTGGAAAATTATAATTATAAAATTGAACACCGTGAGGTGAAAGCATGCCACATGTTGATGCTTTGAGTAGGCAAACAGAATTTTTGACCAGTAAGGTAGAAAGAATAATGGAAGAACCATGCGTAGTCCCTGAACAGTCAGAAATATTAGAATCGTCAGAAATATTAGAAACGTCAGAACAGTCAGAAATATTAGAATCGTCAGAAATATTAGAAACGTCAGAACAGTCAGAAATATTAGAAACGTCAGAACAGTCAGAAATATTAGAATCGTCAGAAATATTAGAAACGTCAGAACAGTCAGAAATATTAGAAACGTCAGAACAGTCAGAAATATTAGAATCGTCAGAACAGTCAGAAATATTAAAATCGTCAGAGCAGTCAGAAATATGTGAACGAGTAGATCAATTAAAACGGTGCAATCCGTCAGAAGTGTCCGTAATGTCAGGAATAGCAGACTTGCAAAAGGAAGTAAGACTAGTTGATTTGGTTGGCATAGTAGGAGCCAGCTCAGATAATATTGATGTTGTATTGCAAACAGAACAAATGAGGGATGAGGTTATTAGTAAAATACGTAATGAATTAACAGAAAAATCAGTAAAGGATTTTGTTTTAATAGACGGTGTTGTGTACCATAAAGATGCGAATGGAAATAGGGCTTTATATGTTCCATCAATCATACGAGATGAATTAATTAAGCTATCACATGAAAAATTAGGTCATTTGGCTGTTGATAAATGTTACAACCATATGAAATCTAAGTATTATTTTCCGTTAATGAGAACAAGAATAGATGAGTTAATACGTAACTGTCTGAAATGCATTTTACATTCTGTTCCAAAATCTGTCAATAAAAGGGTATTGCATAGCATACCCAAATCGCCAATACCATTTGATACGATTCATATAGATCATTTAGGACCACTGCCGTGTATAAATTCCAAAAGAAAGCATTTATTAGTTATTATCGATTCTTTTACGAAATTTGTAAAACTATTTCCAGTTAATTCTACAAGTACGCGAGAAGTAAATGCTTATGCAAGATACTTCGAATTTTATAGTAGACCACGTAGAATTATCTCTGATAGAGGTAGCTGTTTTACGTCAATGGAATTCAGCGAGTTTTTAGCAAACCGAAATATTGGACACATAAAAGTGGCGACATGTGCTCCCCAGGCCAACGGACAGGTTGAGAGAGTAAATCGAGTTCTAACTCCAATGCTAGGAAAATTATCAAATCCAATTAATCAAGCTGACTGGTATAAATTAATAAACAAGGTTGAACATGCAATTAATAATTCTGTCCATTCTAGTACATTAAAAACACCTAGTACTCTTCTATTTGGAGTAGATCAAAGAGGTCCAGTAATTGATGAATTATATGAGTATTTAGATCAAAAATTAAGTATTGATAAGGAGAGAAATTTGACAGACATTAGGGATAAAGCAAATATAAATATTGTAGAGTCACAAAAAAGAAACGAAATTTTAAATGCAGTCAAGCAAAAAATGCCAACGAAGTTTAATATTGGAGAATTTGTGGCAATTAGAAATGTAGACGTTACACCTGGCACTTGTAAAAAATTTGCACCTAAATATAAAGGTCCATATAAAATAAACAGAGTTTTTGAAAACGATAGATACGAAGTAACAGATGTAGATAATTGTCAATTAACGCAATTACCTTATAAAGGAATATTAGAAGCAGCCAGGTTAAAGCCATGGCCACAGGTACAAATGAAAACAGTTACATTATGTTCATAATCTAGATCGAGGTCGATCTATTTGTCAGGTTGACCGAGTTGTAAACATAGTTGTTAAGTATGTACATATTGTATTTAGTGTAAACATCCTGTAATGTGATACGAATTAGTGAGTACGTAGTATAAATTAGAATTAAGAATAATGAATGAATGTGAACTTGACTAGAACTTACGATAACTATAAAATATGTGAAGATAACTTGACGATAATTTTAATCGATATATATACAAGAAAGGAATAAGCACATGGAAATAAAGAGAGAATATTAATTTAATTAAATAAAGACCATCGTTTACATTTCTAATGATTTTTTTTTGTAAATGACACTTTGTTGGAAATTTTGTAACGAATTCAACTAGGTATGCCATTCCAACATCTGACCACTATTTCCCAGGGTTTTGATTAAAAACCTGAAAAATCGAGGTGATTTTCTTCGGATTTGAGCCTTGTTATAAGGGTGGGGGTCATGTTTTTTTTTATCGAAAAAATTTTTCAAATGATTTTTTTTTCTGTAAATGACACATTGTTAGAAATTTTGTAACGAATTCATAAACGTATGCCATTCTCACATTCGACCACTATTTCCCATGGTTTTGATTAAAAAACCGAAAAATCGAGGTGATTTTCTCTGGATTTGAGCCTTGTCATATAGGTGGGGTTCATGGTTTTTTTCGAAAAAATTTTTCAAAGGGGTTTTTTTCTGTAAATGACACTTTGTTGGAAATTTTGTAACGATTTCAACTAGGTATGCCATTCCAACATCTGACCACTATTTCCCAGGGTTTTGATTAAAAAACCGAAAAATCGAAGTGATTTGCTTTGGATTTTGGCGTTGTCGTAATGGTGGGGTTCATAATTTTTTTTCGAAAAAATTTTTCAAATTATTTTTTTTTCTGGAAATGCCATTTTGTTGGAAATTTGGTAACGAATTCAACGAGGTATGACACTCAAACAGTCGACCACAATTTCCCACGGGTTTGATTAAAAAGCCGAAAAATCGAGTTGATTTTCTTTGGATTTTGTTTTTGTCATAAGGGTGGGGGTCATGTTTTTTTTCGAAAAATTTTTAAACTGATTTTTTTTCTGTAAATGACACTTTGTTGGAAATTTTGTAACGAATTCAACTAGGTATGCCATTCCAATATCTGACCACTATTTCCCAGGAGTTTGATTAAAAAACCGAAAAATCGAGGTGATTTTGTTTGCATTTGAGCCTTGTCATAAGGGTGGGGCTCATGTTTTTTTTATCGAAAACATTTTTCTAATGATTTTTTTTTGTAAATGACACTTTGTTGGAAATTTTGTAACGAATTCAACTAGGTATGCCATTCCAACATCTGACCACTATTTCCCAGGGTTTTGATTAAAAACCTGAAAAATCGAGGTGATTTTCTTCGGATTTGAGCCTTGTCATAGGGGTGAGGGTCATGTTTTTTTCGACAAAATTTTTAAAATGATTTTTTTTTTCATAAATGACTCTTTGTTGGAAATTTCGTAACGAATTCAACTAGGTATGCCATTCCAACATCCGACCACTATTTCCCAGGGTTTTGATTAAAACATGAAAAATCGAGGTGATTTTCTTTGGATTTGTGTCTTGTCATAAGGGTGGGGGTCATGTTTTTTTTTATCGAAAAAATTTTTCAAATGATTTTTTTTTCTGTAAATGACACATTGTTGTTCATAAACGTATGCCATTCTCACATTCGACCACTATTTCCCATGGTTTTGATTAAAAAACCGAAAAATCGAGGTGATTTTCTCTGGATTTGAGCCTTGTCATATAGGTGGGGTTCATGGTTTTTTTTCGAAAAAATTTTTCAAATGTTTTTTTTTTTGTAAATGACACTTTGTTGGAAATTTTGTAACGATTTCAACTAGGTATGCCATTCCACCATCTGACCACTATTTCCCAGGGTTTTGATTAAAAAACCGAAAAATCGAGATGATTTTCTTTGGATTTTGGCGTTGTCGTAAAGGTGGGGTTCATAATTTTTTTTAAAAAAAATTTTTCAAATGAAATTTTTTTTGTTGGAAATTTGGTAACGAATTCAACGAGGTATGACATTCAAACATTCGACAACAATTTCCCAGGGGTTTGATTAAAAAACCGAAAAATCGAGTTGATTTTCTTTGGATTTTGGTTTTGTCATAAGAGTGGGGGTCATGTTTTTTTTCCAAAAAATTTGTCAACTGATTTTTTTTCTGTAAATGACACTTTGTTGAAAATTTTGTAACGAATTCAACTAGGTATGCCATTCCAACATCTGACCACTATTTCCCAGGGTTTTGATTAAAAAACCGAAAAATCGAGGTGATTTTCTTTGGATTTTGGTTTTGTCATAAGGGTGGGGGTCATGTTTTTTTTTCGAAAAAATTTTTCAACTGATTTTTTTTTCTGTAAATGACACTTTGTTGGAAATTTTGTAACGAATTCAACTAGGTATGCCATTCCAACATCTGACCACTATTTCACAGGGTTTTGATTAAAAAACCGAAAAATCGAGGT